AACTTTCGGAGAATCTTTCCCTAAAATCCAAACAAGAGCGATCGCGAACGAAGAACTCCCCACAATGAATGGATTGCGGAGGAAGGCTATCATAACAGCTGCTTGAACGACGCTTAAGACCATCCGAGTCTTAAGAGCAGACCCTAGAAGGACTGGTATGGTCGGGACTCCAGTCTTCACGTCCTCATCATAGTCGCGCACGTCTGTCATAATCTTTGGAAAACCTTCAGTCGGGAGTACTTCTAAGAAAGAAATTGTCTTACACAATGACAAGTGCGATTGACCGTCGACCAAATGACAGTCTCCATGATCATCCATGGAGGTGCATTATAGGTCGATTGCCATGATAACTGCAGTGCTGAGTTGACGACGAAGAATATTCCACAGCTGTCTTCGAGTCAAACAATCATACACCGACAGGATGCGACAGCACATACCCTCGAATAATACCGTCAAATATAGCCTTCATACCAGGAACTCGTTTGATTATGAATGGAGCTTTGGGTGAATCATATTCCACTTCTCCTTCATCATCATTTGCCAGTAGGAATCTGTTCAGTACTGTGCCGATCCGCGAAAAGTGAAGCGGCGTCGCCCACAGAAAAGCGGGGGCAGCAAAAGCTACGGCGATGAGCGTCATTTTCGGTGGACTTCTCCAGAAAGCCACCACAAGCAGCAACACATTCAACCCCAGAAAAATACGGGCAAGATGGAACAGTGGGGCAAAGCGCTTAACGACAGCCGCACCACGAGCACTGATGGCAACTTCTTGATCCTTCAAGTGGTCAACGGCGACAGCAAGAATGTCACATGTCACGCATACGGTGATCTTTTACACTATGTGATCAGAAAGACTGTGGAATCCACAAACAAAGGGCTTACCGGCCTCCAGTCAAGTCGTCCAGCGATCTCGTAGGATAGGAGGGATGAAAGAACAGCACTGGTGATCGCCACTATGATGGGCTGTAGGACCACAGAGGTAATGAAGGTTGAAATCGTGGGCGTAGACATTCTCGTCGAAGGCAGGTTCTCCGAGTCCGCAAGTCCGCTGGGAGGGTGTATGATAGAGTCGAAGCCATGTAGGTGGCCTTTTATCATTCCTAAGAGCTTCCGAGAAAATCCAAAATTGGAGAACGTTAACGTACCTCAGTTACATCAGACAAAGGTCAAGACCTCCAGCACCGCTCGACAATAGCTGTGATGTCGGTCTTCTGGCGACTATCAGTCCGGTTAAGCTTTCCACAATATCTCCGTGTCAGGTTGATCCGACAGACTGGCCCCGATCTCGCCCAAGCATGACTGATCCGAGCCTGCCTGCTGACTACACCCATACCGGAATTTTCTGCAGTCTCTCGCTGCCTCCGCCTCGCATTCAGACTATCAAAAGCTTAATGTTAAATGGAAGGACCTCGAAGACTCACCGGATGCTGGTGAAGTCTTTGTTGTACGAAATCTGTAGTCAGATTCCGGATGAGTTACTTCCCCGTACATCCACTCAAAGTCCGCCAAATACCGGTATACACAACACCGAGATATTCGGTTGGAAATTTGGAATTCGAATGTTTAAGTTCAGACCGTCGGTGCGTCTTTTTTTAGAAATTCACTCACAGATCATAATATAAATAAATCTCGGAGTCAATGTACATTTTTGGGCTATTTTCGGCGCTAAGCTTCGTGGATTTTCTGCACCTGGTTTTGCATCAACCTAATAATACGCTAAGGACTGCACAGTGGGTTTTTAAAAGCTCTATGTTCGGTCCCTCGGAGGTTAGTTGAGTTCAACGTGACGGGACAGAGTTCAAATTCAAAGCGATAACAAACGAAACTCAGCGGCCACCAATGATTGGAAACACTCAGCACCACACTCAGGCCCGGCTCGGAGGCTCTTGAGTACCCTCATGCTGGCACGGCATTATCACACAGCACAGGGCAGCTCGCTGCAACGTACTCGGCATCATTGAATAAATTTATTCATAGCATTGTGATGCCACGACTCAGCGGACCGGGGATGCCAATACATCACTATATTTTACCGACGGGGTTCGAACCGAGCATGTAGCGAGTACTGGTCTTGGTGGCAGGTTGTTCCCGGAGACATACATTAAAATGTACAGGATTATCAGGCACGCGAAGAGTTCATGATATCAGCTTACATAATCACATCATCGTTTGCGTATGAGTTATCCCAAACTAGGCTGTATTGACGCCTAACCTTCACACATCCTCTATAGCATTCAGATGCATTTATTCATACAAGTTCATGCGGTGTTTACTCGCCTTGAGTACGAACAAGTTGCTGAGAAAATACGTCACGGAGTCAGCAGGGTTGATCGATCTACATAATCCCTGATTTCATGCTATATTTAACGTTGTTGATGCTTGACCGGATTTGGCCACTACCGCGTCAATCAATCCCTTCGCATGAGAGCTGCTCTACAGGGTAGGATCCTTGTACTAATCCCGCTGTACAGAGCCAAAGTTGGTTACAATTGGTGAATTTATTTTTGAACCTAATCACGTAGCACTATTCTTCCCTGGTTTCTAATCCCCCCCCTAAATCAAAGTGTTTCAGTTTCATTAATATCAAAAGTACTATCGCTTAAAGTACTCAAATTTGTCTGACAAAGATAAAAACCTAGTAGACTGTGGATAAAAAGTTTAGGGAGTAGTACTACATGGAAAGTTGAGATAGTCTATATTAGAACGGGGATGCTCTGCGACAATGTACCTATAGAACCATGCGAAGATCTAATTTTCCTCGCTTACTAGTCTCACACGCAAAGAACGAGGATATAGCCGGCAAAGCAAGGACCCGGCCGCGAGAGGCAGCGAATTCGGGATTCTCACAACTCCAAAACATCAAGTACGTATCATACGACGCCACTAAGTGTAACGAGAGACAGGGTGGGTGCGCAAATTCCTGCTATATTAGCGAGACGATAAACTTGAATGAGGAAAGGCAGGAGCCATTTCGAAACCGTCTTGCTAGACGACCACCGCAATATCTCCACTAGAAAGGAGGTGGCAATGAAGATTGCCTGGCAGCGGCATGTTCGTCATGCCGAATTGCACGAGGCAAGGGCTGCAGGGGAAAAGGACAAGATAAAAGATATAGGAAGGAATGAATAGGTCCGGGATCTGAAAGACTGCTTACCCTTGTGTAAACCAATTAAACGACACCGGTGGTGGCCAAATCAGGAATGGTCAAGAATCTACTTTACGAGAAGATGGCGTACACACGATGCAGTGGCTCTGCGGAGGTGATTCTGTTTGCGTTTCTCCTCCGCAAACGGTTCGGCACGATCGGATAGATACCCTAGGCCTGGTCAATTTTAAAATGTCGTTGTCAACTCCGATTTGACGCATACCTCGTTGACTTGGCTTCTACCCCTGTCCGCTTTGTAGTAACTAGACCAGTGTTCTGTGCCAGAATGGTTAGCTCCGTGGAATGTTTTGATTTTCTCTGTTTTTGTATCAACCTCATGAGTACGCGAGGACGCACAGTAGCTTTAAAAGCTCTATTCTCGGTCCCTCGGAGGACGCGCCGTAAGCTAAAATAAGAGTCGGAGGCTCGAAGAGGAGGTGGAGAGGTGAAACAAGGCTACACTACATTAAGTTAGACTAGAGTGCGGCCCAGCTGAATTTCACCTTGCTCCGTGACAGGCGGTGTTCGGCGAACTCAGCAGCTTGTTCGTGCTCGAGGCGAATAAAAAACACTATATGCTGGACTCATATGAGTAAACCAGATGTGTGGGTGGGTGTGTATAACATGATGTAAAGGCTAGAAACACCAGCATCACGTTAGGCCATCAGTAACGTAGTCAGCCAATAAAAGTTATAAAACATCGTTCATCGTTTATCACGCGATGTGACAACGGTGTGACCGTCTACTCAATTATTATAAAGCATTTATATACCAATCATATGTACCCTTCCTCGAGGCTTCAAGGCCTCAGCTTTTACGCGCTGCAAAATTTGAGCTCAACGAGATCGTCGAAAACATATGTGCGAGATTTGCTTTCCTCCCTTTTCCTCTCAGTAGTGTGACTGAATACATCACGTGACGTTGGTGTTGACTAAGTTCTATCTCAGTACAGTGTTAAGTTACGTTCACTTGGGTTCCGAGTCAGTTACGACACTGAGTACTGAGTACTGAGTACTGATTACCGACAGGGTCACGACTCCTTCTTCGTAACCACACCCCTGGCGCCGGTAACTTTCGAAATCATCACACGTTTTCAGTTCCGCATCAACATGTCGTTCAACGTTCAACGGCAATCAATATGTCCCGTGCACAGCGACGGAAGCAGGATTATAGGGAGATTTTCACTCTGCATTCTTTTCCGGTCAGTACATTACTACATTAGCTGTATCCAGGCATACTAAGCAAGACCGTTTCGAGGAGCTTTCCACTCCAGTTCATCAAGATTTAGACGAGGAAGTCAATGAACGGCTCACCCGCTTTTTCCGTGGGACAGCCACGAGCCTCCGACGTGTTCTCTCTCTGATAGTCACAGTATTCGTGCCCGACCTCCGGTCCCTATGTCCAGTGGCGGACTGGGAAGTGCAACAAGTTCTTTGATATATCATCAAATTGGCCTGACAATGGATATCAGCGAGTGTGTTTTGTTTTCGATTTGCTTAATATGTCCATGCTCTGGCAGTGTTGGTCGTGCAACTTTTGACCGCTTAATGCAGATCTTGGAGCAGAATCTGATTTTGAATCAACGGGGAGAAAATTACATCGACCTGTACGCTATCAGCTCGCCTATTTCCTCCCTCGCTATGGGACTCGTGGCGGCGACTCCCTGCAAGCTCATAAGTTTTGGATTGGTTTCGGAACCGTGGAGTATGCAGGCACTACCGGGCCCGGTACTCGTAATTGCCCACTGGAGCAGAATGTTCTCCGTGTTCATATGGTACAACATAGCCATATGATGGCTGTTCCTGCTGTTGATGCTGGACCCACTTAGCAGCCTTGCGGAGCAAGGTGATATCTAGAAAGGAAAGCACTGAATGTATAATTTTTCACGTACAATATGTGAGGGACTGCGTGACAGCTGGCTCCACTTCGGATGTGTAACGATCTTTGAAAGACACTGCATACAATAGATAAATGGAAGCTAACGTGGAAAATTGATGTAGGATGTATGGAGGGCGTGCTGTCAGAACTCGTGGTTGAATACATCGTTCTGCAATGCGGTAGTATCGTCATTCTCCACCGTTACATGCCCACTGCCTTCAACTTGTCTCCCATATGTTTCACCGGCTGCATCTTCTGGCACCTCCAAATCAACACTTGATCCTGCCCTGCGTGAGTAGGTCGACTCTAGATCACCGCCATCGTCAGTTGTAGAGCGATTCCTTGACTTCTTCTTTCGTTTCTTCTGCTCGGGAGCGTTATATGCATCCTCCGTTCTCGCCCATCTATCTTTCTTCTTTTTCTTCTTCCGCGCTGGAGCGTTTCCTGCACCAGGAAGTGTATCGTTGAAGTTGGCTGGGTATTTCCAACGAGAACTCCCTGATTCCGCTGAACGCATGCTACCTTCACGTTCAGGGTTGTAAAATGATTCGTCATCAGGCTTCCAGAGAGCACTGCCATTGGTTGGCTTGGTGGAGAGATCCTGTGTTGTTGAACGGCTTGACGCCACTTGGCCTTCCTCTAGAGGCTGCTCATCCAGAGCAGAGTTCGGATTACGGTCGTTGTATCTCCCTGCCCACTGGGAGCGCTGTTCATGACGCTTGATGGTTGAAGTGTCGACAAGGCCGTAGCGCTGGACCCACTTGGGTGTGCGGCGGTGATTCTTGTTATTCCTGATATTCTGCGAATTCAAAACATGTCAGCACTTCAATCCACAGAATAATGCAGCTAGTGCTCCTATTACCTGTATGTAAAAATTGTGCACGTGTCCTGGGATAAGGAACTTAATTAAATGCAACTATAACTGTTGTGATTACAGCGCATACCTGGGATGTATCCACAGATCGTGAGTAAGAGATTCAGCCAGAAGTCCTTCCCGATACCGAACCTTGCTGCTACAGCTGCATTCAAATGGCGGTTCAGCACTCTGGTTCCACGATAGCATTCCTCACGACAAGATCACAAATACACACCTAGTGGGGGAAAGAGTGTCCCCATAACGAAGAGTATGACGGCGTACACATGATACCGTTTGACCTTTGGTCTCGCCGGTTTGTTAGTCTTTGCAGGCATGATGCTCGCCGTGGCCGGAGTTCATGAAAGGGAGTAAGAGTGAGGCACAGCCGATGACTTAGCGAGTGCCACTTGGTGTTGCTGGCCGCCGCAATCTCCAAAAGAGGAAATGACACGTGAATGATGCCGTTACCTAAACAAGCGTCACAACATCGTGTTCAAGCACCGTCCGTTATTGGGCTTCAAAGCTTCAACGGCAACCTCGACCATCCATACTGTGCTCATCGGTGAGCGCGACGTGTATATATCTCGGTGAGTAATGGAATTGTCAGATCTTATTTAGGCTCAGTGTCCTCGACAAGAATCGCATTTTGACCTGTTTCACATTAGGTCTACACTCCGTGCGGGAGGCGCTTCACAATTTACAGTATGGACCATGATGAAAATGAACCGGTGCTCGACCTCTCAGATGTAGTACATGATGAACCTTTGGGCTCAGATGAAGAACAGATCCATAGTGGAGATGAGGTCGACGTGAACGCCCCTTCCTCATTCTCCGATTCATCACACCACGGACATTCGCCACACGATGGCGTGCCCCTTTCCCTCGACCCGTCTGTATCTCCGGAACACTTCTCAGTAGAAATGCTGGAGCGCGAAATCGCCAGTCTCCTTCACCAGAATGCGACCGCTGCATCTGCTGCACTCCTGAGTGCTGCCGCACAGCAACGTCAGGCGCAGAACGAGCAAGACCACGATCCCTCCATTCCGGATTCCACTCCAGATGACTTACAGAAAGTCAGCGATACTACAAATGCTGGCGATGCTATTTCTGGTCTTGGTCTCAATCTTCGCAGTATCACTGCCATGCTGCAAGCAGCACATGCACACGCTTCGTCCAATGAGCGCCACGCTGAGTCTTTAAAGCTCCACGATGCGGAGCTTGAACATAGTCTACGTACGACGCGTACCGCCCCCGCGTTCCATTCTCTAACGGCTGGCGATGCCGATGACTACATTGTGGATGGTCCTCGAGACTTGGGGCCTCGGGATTTGGACCTCCTTTACCCCACACAAGAGATAAGGAATGACGACCACAATGACGACCGAAATGGGAGTGATGCTGCATGTTCACCACAACACAAAACTCGGACGGATGTACCAGACGCCCACGAAGGCGTGCCTGGAGAGTTCAATGATATCAGTGACATATTGAATCATCTTTCATCACACTTTGACACCGAAACAGAATCGGATCCTACTCACGGACACCTCCAGGTACCATCGACTGAAAGTACTTCCCCAATATCTCGTTCTCGTACCACGCCTGCTCAGTCACCCGTGCGTTCTAGCCAACCCCTACCCGGTCCATCGCGCCCCACTCCGCAACCCATTGCCTCTACATCGACAGCACCAAAGAAGTCTCCCGAAAATAAGAAATCAAAGAAGGGGAGGGACAAAGAAAAAGATAAAGAGCAAAATGTCGAGAAGGAGAAAGCAATAAACATACACGCCTGTGAAGAACCACTGTGTCGCAAGACATTCACCCGGAGGAGCGATCTCGCGAGGCACATGCGGATCCACACTGGCGAACGACCGTTCGTTTGTAACCATGGCGGATGTGGGAAGACATTCATTCAGGTTTGTATTATTTATCAGATTACACGCAGTATCTTACAAACTTTTCGGGCACGCAGCGATCTGCATTACACGTTCACCAACGGGTACATACGGGCGAGAAACCGCATTCTTGCGAATATCCAGGGTGTGGAAAGACCTTCGGGGACTCAAGCAGTCTCGCACGGCACCGGCGAACGCACACAGGAAAACGACCTTACAAGTGTGAAGATCCAGAGTGCGAGAAAACGTTTACACGTCGCACAACGCTCACTCAACATATGCGAACTCACGATCCAACATGGGAACCAGATCCTAACATGTGGGTATCCAAGCTTAATGTTGTATTCACAGATAATGATTGGATGGCACAGAAAATATAATTTTAAAGCCAAAAAACAAAAAGTTTCTGACACAACAGGGGATCTCGAGTTGGAAGAATCAGTGCGCACTATTTCCGCGCTATTCTCGCAAACTGGTGGCGTCGTAACCAGGCCCCTGGAAGCTAGTACACCGGGTGAGCCGCTTGAAGCCAGAGTGGCAAGTATCAGTGCAGAGATCGCCGCTGCAATTGCCCAGGCATCTTCGCGCGCGCTAGATGAGGACGAAGATGAAATGGAGGAAGAAGAGGGGGTCGACGATGATGATGGCTGGTGCTCTGGGCATGAGATCAGGAGACCTGAGACCATCGTGCCTAATACGAGCGGGATCAGAGGCAGTGGTAGTGACGACAGTGGGAAGGGTTTTGTTGGCGTGGAAGACAACGATGAGGACAGTGACACTTTTCCTATCCCACTACGGACACGCAAGGGTAAGGAACCGGTTTCTTTGGTAGGAATCAAGAGGAAACGATGATCAAGCTCCTGTCGGCCGGCTCGTGTATGTATTGATATTCTGCTTTTACGTATCTGCTGTATAATCACAGGGAATTCATTCACGTTTTAGGGTAGTAGGTACCGGATACTGTGAGAACAATTTGCTGAATCTTGACAACGTTCACTGGGAAGCGAATCCACCATCAAGGTACTTATTAGTGCTGTCCGTTTCCATCCGCACAACAGACAGGCAGATATAGCGCTTAAGTATTGTGAAACATTTCCATGTTTCCTTGCTTGCACTTTACAACACCCTACCTAGAACTATAATGGCGTCGGTCTCAGAACAACCTCCTAGCACGGACCTGATCACCCTGAGCAGGTGAGCGCGGATATGTTCCGGTGCGAAGCTAGACATTGACGCGCCTTGCAGACATGTGATGGACGACCAGCTGCGGCTGGGAGCAGCTGCCACGGGAGATCTCACCCTCTTGCTCATCGCTATCCAGGTGACTAGCAAATTCATCGCAACCAATGTTCGAAAAGCCCGGCTCATCAACCTGTATGCCGTTTAACTCCATCCGCACTAACACCCCTAATATCATCTTCAGTGTCGGCCTTGCCGGCGAGACCAATGTCCAAGGCGAGGAGCAGAAAAAGCTCGATGTTCTGGCTAACGACATCATGGTCAACGCCCTGCGGGCGTCTGGAAAGACCGCAGTCTTGGTCTCGGAGGAGCTTGACAATGCCATCATCATCGAGGAGAAGAACAGGGGAAAGTACTGTGTAGTCTTTGATCCGCTTGACGGTAGTAGCAACATCGATGCTGGTGTCAACATCGGAACTATCTTCGGCATTTACCCTGTGGTGGGTCTCTTTCACAAGGGTATCGCCATTGCTCTGATCGACTTTTGCAGAGACCGGACTCTGATGGAACTATTGGAGATGTGCTCAGACCAGGAAGTGAGATGGTTGCTGCAGGATACACCATGTTAGTCGTCTATTTGACTGCCTTTTCAAATATCCTTACATCCGTTTAGGTATGGTTCTTCAGCGAACTTGGTTCTCTCCACTGGGTCTGGTGTCAACGGGTACACCCTGGATGCCGCTCTGGGAGAGTTTATCCTCACTCACCCTGATGTAAGAAACGGCCTCTTATCTAGCACCCATAATGTTCCTAATCTTATCTCCCCAAGATAAAAATACCTTCCCGTGGCAAAATTTACTCTTTCAATGAAGGGAACTCGATGTATTTTTATCCTCCTGTGACCAACTACCTGAACTCGATCAAGTATCCGAAGACTGGTTCTCCTTACTCCGCTCGGTACATTGGGTCCATGGTCGCAGATGTGCATAGGACGCTGCTATATGGAGGGATTTTCGGATACCCTGACGATAAGAAGAGCAAATCTGGAAAGTTGCGGTTACTATACGAGGCATTCCCCATGGCCTTTTTGACCGAACAAGTAAGTGTTTCAGGATGAACTCTGGTTAGTTCGTCACTTACCGCATTATGCAAGGCCGGTGGAGTCGCAACTACGGGCACCAAGCGCATCCTCGACATTATGCCAACGAGCATACATGAGCGGTGCTCTGTGTTCCTCGGCAGTCGGGACGATGTGCAGGATCTTACGAAATTCTATGCGAGTGAGAGAGCCTAATCAAGATTAGCAACCAGTGATGTATTGTTCAATCGAAGTAGTATGTACTGCCTGCCATGTCCAATGGAATTAATTGTTTCAAATCACTGCGTGGTTTTTGTGTCGAGACTTGAACTGAAATTGCAAGTCACGCTTTCTGGGAGTTCGATAATATTAGGTTTTTTATCGCAGGCCCGGTCTTCTATCGAGAGTGCTGGCTTACAAGTGGTTGGTAATGCCCAAAGTATTAAAGCCGAAAATGGCATGGCTTAGTGGATTCTTACGAGATTTTTACTTATGTAAATCCTCAGGCCTCAGGGTCTTCGGTGTTCGAATTCGAGAGCTGGACTGACGCGATGGTTGCGCGATAGCACGCGCTGTCGCTATCAGGTATGGTTGAGCCAGTGGGAGGAACAAGGACCTTGGACAGGACTCGAGTATTTCATATTGGCAACGATGACCACTTGGACTGAATCGGATATCGGCGCCGGTGGATCAGATGGTTCCTGAAATCACAAGCAAATATTGTGCTGTCACTGCCTTGTCAGAACCTAACTTGTCCCAAATATTAGTCAACGACAGCTTAGTGAGCACGCAATAAGTACCAGAAATCTTATCAGTCTATTTTTCAATCACAACCCCATCCTTGCCACTAGCTGCTATACACGCATCGCCATAATCAGACGCATAGCTCACGCCATTTCGACTCATCCATGCCTCCGTTAAATTTGCAAGGACTCAATCTTGTTCATACTCCTGCTCCACAGGATGCTCGTGACCTATTAGCATCCCCACCTTTCCCCGACTTCTCAGCCCACCTTGACCTGTGGACAAATCTTTCTTTCGAAACTGAGGAGCCTGTCGCTCGTAACAAGGGAAAGAGAAAGTCGGTGGATGATTCGGAAGATGACACCTCTGCTTCTCCTTTAGGCCTGCCTACTCATGATGGCCATGAAAACGTCGTGCACCCTGCCAGCACTACCATCACTCCTCAGTCCGAGGCCCAAGCCCCACAGCTTGATCTAAATGCGCTGTTGGCTGGATTTGGGATTGATCCGTTCTCACTCCCACAATTGGCACCATCACCCGCGGAGAACGCGGCAGTCCCATCGCTTGCGCAATTGCTTGCCATGCATACTGCTCAAGGTGGAACATACTCTGTTCCCCCTCCTCCTCCCGTCGTACATGCTCAGCCTACCTCAGAGTCCGCTACTAAGCGGGCTCGTACTTTGAAAAGCTCAGGTACAGAGTCATTCGACCCTGCATCCCCGGCTTCGCCTACTGGGGAAGAGACCCAAGGTGATTACCCCAGTCCAGTATCCGCTGCTGAAGACAAGCGCCGCCGCAATACTGCCGCTAGCGCACGGTTCAGATTGAAGAAGAAGGAGCGGGAAGCGGCGCTTGAGCGACGGGCAAAAGAGCTTGAAGAACGTGTTGTGGAGTTGGAACGCGAGTGCGAAGGACTGCGTAGGGAGAATGGGTGGTTGAAGGGGCTTGTGGTGGGCGTAACAGGCGCTAGTACCAAATAGGGGGTCAAGGAACGGCGCAGCGCTGTTGAGCGACGAGTCTTCTGCTGAGTGGGGATTAAACGCTCTCGGTGTTTGGCACCGGTGACTTCTTGCCATATCCCTTCGCGAGGTGATGGTGTATGAGGAGCTCGACCTTCTATCGCACGGAGACGATGGAGCATCTTGTAGAGACCACGGTGGCACGAAGTGGCGGGCACCATGGAGTACTCAATCAGGCTTTGTATTATTATCGATAATTTTTTGGGTTTTTTTGATTTTTTTACTGTGCAAGTAGACACTTTCATGAACTCGTTATCGTGTTAGACAGCCTCGAGCTGCGTCATAGGGTGGAAATCTTGTTATCATGCGAAGTTTCGGAGCTCGGGCCTCGGGCGTGGACATAATGGCTAGCATGGTTGACAATCGTGGGTTTACAACCGACATCGTGGCGTATCTTATATCGTATCGATATCGCATCCTGGATAATCCCTTAAGTGAGTTATTTCGAGGTATAATGACCGGATGGACTATATTATGATCTGTTCCACTAACGGCCGTTTATTTGGCCTTGTTGAATTCAGAAGTCCATACCTAAATTAGATGTTTATCGTATTTCTCGATTTAGTAGCACTGGTCCGTGCGCTATTCAAGACGATATAAAAGGGAGCTGTGAACGAGTTGAATCCTTACCACTCTGGCCTTTTGGCTTAGATCAAGTGTAGTATCTGTTCTTAATAGTTTAACCACTATTATGAGGGCACCGCCCTCATTCTTTGGTTATCAAATTTTTGCCGCCCTTGTTCTCACGAGCTCTGCTTGCAACTCGAGGGACATGATGACCTTGCCACTGCACTACCAGCTTGTGTCGTCGGGGGTTCCTTTTTTAAGGAGTTCTTTGTCTCTTTGCTCTGTGCGTCACTCTGTAGTCCTTTGACTACTTATGGCCCTGAGCAAACAGATCATAGGCTCTTGGTAGATTTATAATTGTATTTTACATTTGTTGCAATAAATGCAGTTGGTTCTCGAAATTAACGGATCATTAGTGGTGCTACCTGCCGCTAACCGTATAATAACAGTGTGCTGAACCGACGGAGGCGCTCGCACCTCTTAACACTATCGTTCCTCTAGCTATGGGTACAGAACTATCGCTGTGGCTCAAGTTCCTCAATCAAGTATGCCCCCAATGTCTCGACCAAGAGCAAGTGCTGAATCCAATTTCTACAGACGTCCATAATCGTGTGCACCTTGACCACTGCAGCCATTCTCCATACCCGCTCGGCAGGTGTCGTATATTTCGTGACCGGCGCAGTCTTATGTTCAGCGCTTGCCAAGTCCATAAAGAAGGCAATACGACAGGAACGCCCATTGAAGGATTCCGGACGCAAAGTTACCTATGGGTGCGTTCCATTTCCTGCGACCCATATATTCTAATTCTATCATCAACATGCTCCTGCAGGATGCCTAGCTCACATGCATCCGCCTGCACCTTCTTCGCCGCATATATTACGATGGCTTGCCTCCAGCTACCCGTTCACCCTACCTTTCCCAGTTCCATTATGTTCGTTCCAGTGGTCATCTTACCATGGACATTCATGATAGTCCTCTCACGGGTTCAGTTGGGCCATCATACATGGCCGCAGGTGGCGGCAGGAACAGCCCTCGGAGTCTGCTGTGCTAGCTTCTGGTTCAAACTATGGGTGGATGATGCGGCTGGCGTCAAGACAGCTGCTTGGGAGGTCGAAGCGATGGTGAGGTTATGGGTTGGACAATGATCTCAGGAGCACGTATATATCCATTCCCTGCACTTGGAGATGATTCATTTTGGCATGGCTGTGGTGGATCAGGCAAGCAAGTAACTTGTCCTTTGCGTTTCAATCTTGCGCTAATTTTGTTTCGGAAAGGTTTTTTAGATGTACAGTGATTCTCTTCACAATCGTTGTTCCATCGTTCTTGTCATCAGACAAAGATTTACAATGAATGCAAGTCAGCATTTAGGGGATATCTGTGTCTCCTGTAACAGTTTCCGGAATGCTACCTGTTGAAGTCCTAAATATGAATCACGCTCTGGATGCATCATATACCTGCAAGCGGAATATTGCTATGTAGTGCCATAGGTGGGAATAAATTAGACTGCCTGCTGTCTTCAATCGAGCATAGTCGTCGATCCCTCACATTGAACATGTATAACGTCTTCATGATTATCTTTACAAGTAAGGACATGAACTCTTGGCGACTAATTTCATGTCGCGTGACCGACGCGTTACGTGTGACGCGCCTGCTTGAAAGCACGCAGTTTCAGTTCTCATACTTATTTTCACTCGTACTTTGTCCAAAATCGAAGATGAGCCTGCGTCGATTTGCACAGGCCAACAATGCAGCAAATACTCCAGGATCGCCACTTCCTTCGTCGCCTAGGTTGAATGGTGCAACTTATACTCCAGTCACACCCCGCCCACGCGTGTCATATGTTCATTCTCCATCTTCTACTCCTTCCATATCTTCCTCTACGCCATTCGACTGGGATGCTGCACGGTCGAGGAGACCACCGCCTTACGCTTCACCTCTCAGCGCAAAGCGTAAATCTCGCACGAGTGCCATCCCGGATGGGCTCAGGCCACTGCCAAAGAAGGTTGTGAAAAAGAAAGGCATATTTGAGAGGTCAGTGATTGTTTCGAGTGTTTGTGCATAGTTAATTGACGACTTAAATGCACCCGTCATCGCACAGAATCACAGCGTTCCCTTCACAGATTATGTTCGAGATCTCACTATTTCCTCACAACGTACCCATGCCGGCTCCGAGAACGACCGGATGGCTCATCGGGTCTAGCATGCACCTGCTGCACCTTTGTCTGCGTGTATCTCAGATACGTGCCACGGCTGACTCGGACATCGGCTGGGAAGACTTGTATTGGGAACGTAGCCAGCAAAGCTGGTTTGACTGGGTAAGCTACGCTCGACACTGAATCTTACCTGTTCTTACAGATCTCTCGCAGACCGTTCCAATGACAGGCGTTCTCTTGGTTGCCTCGACGTTGAATGCAATGCACCTTTTTACGCAAAGTAAAACGTATCGCCTTCATCGTCGAACCAAAGCGGACCCCGTGTCCTCGCCACACACCACGTTTGTAACCTCTCCTGCACGTGTCCGACCCCTTTCTTCCGACGAGCCTTCCCAGATGACCTCCTTCCAAACGCGCATCCTGCGTGTGATAAAAGCCGTTATCATTTTCCTATGGACATGTTTCATCTCCTTCTGGAAATTTCTGCTTGGCATTTCCACTCCCACGCCTTCATCATCTTCGCCCGCCCGAGGTGCACCTGCAGATCAGATTCAACAGCTTGAGGTCTGGACTCCAGGAGAGCTTGAGCGTGTGCTTCTTAGCGTATATTCTCCTGTCCATGCTCTTATATGGATGTCTACGGGTCCTACGAATTGGATGCTTATGACTGCTGTGATGGGTGCCGTTGGCGTGCAAACTAGCCTTCTCATACAGGCTTATGAGGGTCTTGTGAAGGATCGTGCTATTCTTGCAGCTGAAGTCATGCATGAATATAACGAAGGGGTGAGTTATCGTCGGGTCTTTGGTAGGACGTCTCCCACTAACATGATCCTTATCTCAGTTCGTTTATCCGCGAATGAATATCGTGAAGAAAGACGTTGCTGTCATGACGCATCAATCGGAGATGATAAACATCTGGGAAGACTAGCGATCCCAGATCGTCATCTCGAAAATAGCTAGAGTCAAGTCATCCATGAGAAAGTATACCTGCATGTAGATTGGACTATCATGAGTACATTCACCCTAATATTCTGGACCTATCAATTAGTGCCCGAGACCTGATATACATATTGATCTGTGTATTTTATTCGTACCAGCTTATCCCCCAGCTCGTACCAAACCACTCGCATATTATTCATCTACGTTACTCACAATTCCGTCCTCGAAGCTCGTCGATCATCGAGCTCCATTCATTTGTGCATCAGTCTTAATCTTAAATACAATGGGATGTGAACGATGACTGGAAACTATGCTGAAACTGTGTTGAAGCTTGGCTGAAACCTTATATATAACAAATTCGCGGTGTGAGCGCTTGAGCGCTTTAGCCGTGGAGTAAATATTATAGATCTCACTTGCTACTTGGTTGTCAACCCTTACGAAAGACGGAGCCACTCTCCCAAAGTCTCGTCTGTTTGAAAGACGGGAGCTCTAGTAAAGACTCATCTCGAAGGTGAAAACTAGGCATGCACTTATGCTGCCATCGACTATGACCAGCATATTCACGGCCAGCTTGGGGTTATTCTCACTAACACTCATATATATCTGCTACCACGCAGCAAACCTGACAGTTTCTCCACAAGGATGTCGGATGTCTTGGATGTCTCCATCTTACCTCCTCCAACACGAATTCAACTCCTCATGGACGCCATTAGCACACCGGTATTCGCTCTGGTTATACCGTGAGGTGGGATGGGATCCCAACCAGGTGCGTGTCTAGTGACCACTCCATTAACTGCAATCCGGTAACTAATGCTCCAGAACTCTAAATGACTGTCTCTGAACCCTGCTACTGATAAAGGTCACAGGTGTACCAGTTCTGTTCATCCCCGGAAACGCTGGCTCGTCGCACCAAGTCCGGTCCATCGCGTCCTCTGCTACAAGACAATATTTTTCGTCTCCTTTTGTCATCTCCAGCGACTTTACCGGTCGTGGAATTCAGTCGTTGGACTTTTTTGCTGGTAGGTTCAATTCCGATCCACGTAGCTCAAACCGGTGTCTCCATAAGCTACCACACGTCAACAGCTCGCTGACGTGTATTCTTTTTGCAGTGGAATTCAACGAAGACCTTTCGGCATTCCACGGACCTACCATTGAGTCACAGATCGAATACTCCGCTGCGGCGGTAAGTTACATCCTTTCGCATTATCCCCCTAATACCCGAATTATCGTCATGGGTCATTCGATGGGAGGCATCGTAGGGACAGCTCTTCTCCCATCTGACGATATATCTGCATTGATAACCATGTCCACTCCCCACACGCTACCCCCCGCACGCTTTGACGCCCGTGTAGATGAGATATATCAACGAAATGCTGAATCTTTGGTGAATGACTCGACGCCCGTCGTATCGATATGTGGAGGGGCCACAGACATGATGATTCCCTCTGAGTCTTGCATTCTGCCAGATCCCGGTCCCGAACGTGATATATATCGTCGTACAGTCTTCACATCTGCACTAGAGGGTGCATGGACTGGGGTTGGTCATCGCGAGATGGTGTGGTGTCATCAGGTGCGATGGCGGGTTGCTCGTGCTGCCCTCGAGCTTGGAGGAGCACATTCTGATATAGACATTGGAGGCGTAATGGACACCTGGCTTAGTAGAGATGGCCGTCTTTTTCCTCCCGTAACAGGCATAGATATCCCCGAGGCAGCGACTTACGAGGCTCTCCCCGAGGGTATGAACCTGGTCATGAGGAAACCCACTGGATCTCGGACATACCTCCTCCCTATACCGCGTGCTCTTGAAACGAACGCTACGTTTGTCTTGTTGGTATCACGAGGTAGCATATCACCCATCGCACCCCAGCATTCGACCAAACTTCAGACAGCACCTTTCTTTTGTGTTGGACGTGCGACATCGCCGACAATACAACAATCTTCAGAGTCTGTGTCGTGCGTACCGCTCGAGCCCAGTACTCTGAAACTTTTGCCAAGTCCTATTCCGGGAAAACCTTTTCCAGTACCAGATGAAGGGTCTGATGAGAGCGAGGGCGTCGTCCTTTTCGAGGCCACGGTACCACGTACACCTAGCGGTGCGGATGACGCTTGGATCGGTATTCATGTTGACGCTGCCGGTGAAGATGGTTGGGTTTTCGGAGGATTCGACGAGACTCGGACTTTTCAAAGTGATATTGGCGTCTTTGGTTTGTTTTCACATCCCTTGTGTTCCCCCGCTCTTGTTTAATTGCAATATAGACATGGTTGCTGGTGGCGCAAAGCTCTCGCTGCAACCTAACGAGCAGAGTTTAGTGCGAAGGCACATTACCTTTCCGAAGTTACTCTCGAACGCGCTTGTGGTATACACACTCACTCCAGAATCAGTGCGTCCCACGACGTCTTGTGCACGTATGTTAGTGGTGCTTCAGTGATCGAAAATATCACTGATGATTTTTTTCGATGTAGATTCCTCGTCCTTGCTTCCCCCGCTTTTGGTGCACAAGTCTCATCCAGCGGAAACTCATTATCATCGCCTGGAACATAAGACACCAGCAACTCTTCATACACACGCATCAGCGCCATACATACCCCTCTCGCGGTTTTCTCCGTCCTATAGCTCAGAGCTCTGGATATATTCAGCCGGCACTGGCTGCGAAGATGTCAACGAATTTACTTTAACTATTGACTGGTGGGCGACAATCGGGAGGATTGCTACGAGGTATCCTACCACCCTGATAAGCTGGGCCGTAGGTGTGGTTGCGCTGTTGATGTTCCACGCATGGCGCGAGAGCGGCAAGGGTTCAATGCCGAGTGTGTCACAATCGTTGGTCGCCTTCATCTGTCACCTCCTGCCCAAACTACTTGCTGCATCCTTCGTTGTAGCCCTGTTGCCCTTGAGCCCTGACTACTACTTAGGAACCCGAGGGGAACCATTTCTCGCATTTCTTGCGCCAGTCCTACTGGTTGTTGCCACAGGTCTAGTATGTGCCAGCTGGTGGCTCATATTACTCCTCATGTGGCCCTTGAGATTTCTCACCCGGTTACTGCCACCAAAGTGAGTCATTATCAGTCAAGGGGATAGACTTACTGAAACATTCCGCTCTGCAGCAGTAGGCGGTACGATGAACTAAGCATGCCGCGAAGCACCGTCGTCTCTCTCATTTTCATCTGTTTTCTGGTGTTCCTGGTGGTCCCATGGCAAATTGCATTTATGGGATGCTGGTTGATTCACTTACACACATGTGCGAGTTCAGCGCATCGAAAGCCTTACCCTGGCTCTGTGCCTTCTCTCCGAAGCACACCCATCGAATCGCTTCCTCTGCGCGAGCGCCTTGACGGCCGCGAGGATGACACAAAAGGCACTGGACCCAAAGAAATAGGGTCCTCCGAAGAGCCTGAAATTCAGGATGTCTGCAGGGTTCAGAGTTTGGCCAATGTCACCGACACTCTAAATGCTACCCAAACTTACCATGAAAACACGCATCTCCTGTTACTGATAACTTGGCTTCTGCCTTTGTCAATGCCTGTGCTCGCGGTTTGGGTGCGAACCCTGATGACTGCTGGGTATACTGCCCCTTTCAACGGCGATCACAATGTTTTCAAGGTCGCGCCGTTCCTTGTGCTTGTTGAGTTTGCAAGTCGCAGAAAAAGTACTTTATCATTGCATCAAAAGTGAGTGTTGTTTGTTACCATCTAGATTGAAATTCATTAATTTCGATCATAGTGGGGGATCATACCTTCACTGGGGATACCTCATTGTCGCCTGTGTGTCATTCTTGCTAGGCTCCCGAGAAGCATACAGGGTGTTCGATGTTGCAAGTACGTACATCGGGTGCGCATTAGTTGTAATATTTAGCCCTGTCCGTTTTGCTAGACGCATTGCTACATGATGATTCAAAGGCAATTTGTTTCGATGTTTGTACTGTGCAGATATTCACTTTCGCTGTTAATGGAACGGTTACGAGGCGGTTCACATCATGGAGAAGACACTGTCTGCTTCTATAGTATGAGCTGGCTCGGGTACCAGCGCCCACTAAAGCCCGCCGCGGCCTTGTTGCGATAATTCAATAATTCACAGAACTCCCATTGCTTCTGTTTTTTAAAATAACTTGAAAACGTTCGGTTCTTTCTACCGACCCTTTATTTTCCCTCCCAGTGTTGTATCCGTCCATGGGGGGATTACTCGACAGTTATAGTGTCGGGCAAGGTATCAAGATTACGTGCGATGACACGGACCAGTAAAAGACAGACCGGTAATACTGCACCTATACATGCGAATTTGGCCAGCACCGGAGTACGACATCCAGATGAATTTACGTAACAAAATTTGTTATTGTGTGTGTTATGAACAAAAGGCTGATGGTCGTTGTTTGGTTCCGCAAGTGGTTGTGCAAATAAAGGGATGAACGCAAAAGGCAAATCGAACATTTGGTTCAATTTTCAACTTGTTTCTTTCCTTCCTTCCATCCGTACTTGCGTTGCCCCCCCAAACTCCAATATCAAACTTGTTTTTCAACCGTACTTCCATATTCTGATCGCCGTTGTCATTTAGACGACAACCCTTTTTGAATTTACCCACCTTTTTTTCAAGACGTCCAACCTGCGCGCACCAACGCATACCACCGTTTCGCCCTCAAGCTCAATTAGCGTACGAAACGGTGCAACAAGGATGGCAAACCCTTCTTCATCCCATCATGAGCGTGGCGAACGTGACCGCGAGCGGGAACGAGAGCACCGTCACCGCTCAGAGCGAGAGCGACACCACCATCACCGAACCATATCTTCAACAACCCTTTTACTCGTTCTTTCCCTAGTTCTTGCAGTCCTCGCAGTCATGCTTTCACTACCCGCATCTAGCAGTGCAAGTGCAAAGGCAGCCGGAGCAGAAGACCCTGCTGCATCTGGACTCTGGGGTTATCTCACTCCCAAACGATCGCAAGCGCTTGTAGCTCGCGAGAGCTCTGTTGCTGGACGTGAAGCTGAAGTGGCGCGTCGCGAGGCAGAACTTCTCGTGGGCGCGCCTGGTGGTGTGCTTCCAGCTCAGCAGTCCCCAATCGTTTGCCCTGTGTGCCCTACCGCCACCGTCGTAGACTTTGCACCTGCACAGACCATCATTAAAGAAGTCGTAAAGGAGGCAGACCTTGCACCCCCGGGGTGGTGGAAGGAGACCAATGCCCGTGCTGAGGAGATTCTAGATCGCGAGCTCAGAATTGGCGACCGAGAACGCGAGATTACCCGCCGCGAGGAGAGTGTCAACAGAAGAGAGCATGATGCTTCGAGACGCGAGGCTTGGATAATGGAACAGCTTGTGTATGTTTCTTCATTCCCATCAGTTGTGATCGAATTACTCACCGGGGCTGTTGTACAGTCTTATCAACAACGATGGAGCCTCCCTCGAGGAAGAAGTGTTCTATGAGCCTGCTGTTAGCAAGCGGAAACTCAAGGTACCACCAATCGTCCCGCGCCGTCCCGAGCTCTGAGACGAAGGAGGATTTTCCGTTTATTTATCCCAATCAATAAATTCGGAAAATCTTTCTGCTTCATCCTGTGTAATAGTCTGTATCTCCTCCTTCGTCCGGGCTTGGGGGACAACGGTTTCATCTCGTCCCCCTTGTCATCGTGCGGTAAAGTGGAGACCAGTTGGTGGTGATGGCTACTTTTGGATGCGACGCGATCGAAACACGCTACACGTGACGGCTAACGGCCATATCCTGATTTAATTTCGAGCTTATTTTCCATGCCACCAACTGGATCTCTCGTTGCCGCGACAGAACAGTTTTGCTGACCATGTTTTTTTGTTCGTTCCGCAGGAGCTTCCTCCCATGATAATCGCAGAAACTGAAACAAAAACTATTATTCAATATGAAACTTTACCTGCCTCGACTGTCACAGTTCCCCCACCCGCCAATACCCGTTTTGCTGCATTCCCTACACCTGAAGTCTTTTCATCGAGCTACACCACCCAAATTCCCAGAACCACAGCCATCACTGTTGAAGAAGATTTCATTCGTGAGCCCTTGCGGGCTGAAGAGGTAGAAGAGTACGAGGTGGAAGAGTATGAGGATGATGATGTGAGAGCAGTCACACTTCGCCGCAATGCCCGGCCGAACCGGCGACCGCCACCAAATTCACGTGGCTGGTTGTGGTAAATGGACAAGTTGATCTTTTTTTATTATTGGTTTGACCATCTGCTTCATCTTTATTCCTTTTTTTTCTTCGTCGCTGCGTAGTTTCCTATAACTTCATTCTACTTCAGCTTTGGCATCTCCCTTTATACACGACACGACAACTGACGGTTCATGGAGACTGCGTTTGATACGTACAGATTGAGACGGCCTATGACATTACGATGGGATACGCGTTGCTTTCTTGAGTATGTAGTATAGGTTACGATACGAACTTTTGACTACTTGTCTCCCCTGCTCTTGGAAATATACAATTTAGCGGCGGGTTTTCGCTGTGCATACTTTCTATTACTGTGGGAAATTTTCTGAAACTTCGTTAAGCTTCAGTTCTTTGTGTTTTATACCCTTTGTGTTTAGACCAATTGATAAATTCAGGTGGAAACTCCTGAAGGGTCGCCATCTACATATCGCGTCATCATAGATCGATATCTCTTCAACTATCCTTAGTGTTTGCCATCATCAACTAGCAATTGCCTGCGCCTGTCATCAGGGGCTTTTGTGAGCCGAGGCAATTCCAGCGATGGCTCAGACACGCTGTATGGTGAGTTAATCAAAGTGCCACTTTCCTCCGTAGCGTCCCATTTCCCCTGAGTTGTCGTGTCAATGCGCGGGTTCTTACTTATAGTAACAATTTAGTTCTTCGATGAAAATGGCACTGAACGCAATGGAGGCTGTTACTCGGGAGATCGATGCAAATTTATTCATCCTGGAAACCCCGCTTGGGATACAGCCCCGAGTCGGAATGCTCCGAGAGGTCGCGGAATGGGCAGAGGTGGATTTGTGGGTGGACTTTTTGGTGTACTTGTGATGATCGTTTTGACTGACCTTTCCATGTCTTTCAGGGAGAATCGAGAGGGTCGTTTAGTCGTGGAAGAGGGCGTGGATCTGGACCTGTTAATCAATCTAGTTCATTTTCGGCGTCGGGATGGGATACTGGAGGAGGAACTGATAATAATGCACAGAAGCCGAACTCGGGCTGGGCGATAACAAGTACAAGTACAAAAGGTAGACCGGGCACCTTTATGTGGCATATCTAACGCATCATGCACTTCAGATACTGATAAACAAGCCAATGTTGCCACCGCGTCTCTGTGGGACACTGGTGACTCATGGGGCACGGCCTCAGACTCAGGAGCAAAAAAATCTTCTGCAGGTGGATGGGGTGACAATGACACCTGGGGTGGTAATGACACATGGGGCGGTAACTCCGGAACAAAAGATCAATCTGGAGGCGGATGGGGTAATACTTCCGGTGGCGACATGTCTTCATGGGGCGCGGCAGACACGACAGACACCACGCTGCGCGCACAGGAGAAACTTGGCAGCTCAAATGCAATGGACACTTCTACAAGCACATGGGGTGACACTCCCGGTGGCGGGTGGGGCAGTCCTGCGGGTGGCGCCAAATCTCATGGTGGATGGGGCGCGTCGGGAACGACTGAAATGACGTCGGTTGCACAGCCGAAACGTAATGATGCCGACCAAGAGAATCACAGATTTAAACCATCACAAGTTCCTCCACCACGACCTCCGCGTCGTGGCTCGCGAGTACAGGACGACGAGGAAGAAACGCGTCCCAAGATGACCGGGACGAATGACGTCCCAATGGTCAATACAAGATGGATCAAGAAAGCGGACACGACAGTGCCACCCCATGTGGAGTCTTCTGAGCGATCTCGCCTTCCGCCGCTCCAGACGAGCGCATTAAACAACGCGACTCCCCGAGAGCCACCAGCTCCATTGTCCGCCAACCGCTCTGAGGACGACCGAATGGACGTGGATGGTTGGAGGCGGGATGTGATACCGGAGAAAGTTCGTGACAGGTCGCCTTCCCTATCGACAGTGACAGGACCAGCTATCACTCGCAAGAGGAAATATGGAAACTCGGGCCTCGAGAGGAAGCAGGATATGTGGAAGGATTTTATCAGGTGCGTGAAGTTGCACATTGTCAAGCACTTCATTGAATCAATAATGCAGATTGTGCGACCGCGCCGTTCGAGCAAAAGTAGATCTCGCGAAGGCAGAGGCAGAACGTCAAAACTGGAGAAGGGCACAGAAGTCTACTAACTATTCCCGCATCGGCGAAGCTGGCCGCATTCGCCTGGATGGACATCGGACAGAGCTTGAGAAAGTTTGTGCTGGTCACTACGATAAACTATCGCAGGCGATCAGTGAACTTGCGGAGGTTGGAGACAAGCTGAAATCTGGCATAGACTATGAACAACGTTACGATATTGGAAACGAGGTGGCGCGCTACTCAAATGAAGTCGGGGCTTGGTTATCAGATATCCGCCCACTACTCATTGCCAACACCACCGAACAGCCCAAAGATACTAATCATCCTACTCCTCATGAAGATGAATCACCTGAAGAACCACCAGCTATTCCAGACAGTCTGGATCCCTTGCGATCCCGTCTGGACAAACAAGAGGAGCAACTCGAGGAACTGCGAACAGTGCTGACGCTCGAGTCTTCTAATGATCCTCTTGCTACTATCAACAACACAATTGACAAGAAGATAGATCTCTTGCGTAAAGATCGAGCGGAGGCCAAGGCCCAACGCGCTAAGCTGCCTCCACCGAAGGTTGTTATACCACCCGAGGCGACGGGCGCTATAGAAGATGTTTCTCGTAAGGCGGTGGAACTGAGCGCGGCTATGGAAGCGCCTATCAATGACGTCGCAAAGTTACTCATTGGTCAAAACGACATACAGAAAATACAGGCTTCTTTCAAAACTGAGAACGAAGAACTCAAAAAATTGATAGTCAAGGTAGATCATTTGGCAGTTATGTCTGACATATCTCATTGTATCTCACTCCTTTAGCTCACCGAGACGTCCGCTGCTAATCGGAAACTGATCCAAGAACAAACCGAAGCCATTCAGCGTCTCAAGGTTTCACTCGAGGCAGCTTCTGAATCACAACGCGCTCCTGCACCCCCTGCCGAACCCCCAGTCAAAGTCATGTTCGACGACCTTCGTGCAGCAGTTGATGATGTGCTGCATGGTATTGTATCGCGCGAAGTCGTTCCTACGATAAATAGATTGCGCGACGATTGCTGGAAAGATAACCAGCACTTTCATAAGGAGGTGTTTGAGATAATCTGGGATAAAATTGAGCCCAGCTTAAGGATCGCCGAAGCTGTCAACCGATGGGCGACAAGGTTAGAACTCCCTGCATCCTGATGCGTACCTCGTCAAGCCATCCGTCCATTCATTATCTACTTGCTTGTAAACATCCATCTTACCTGTTCAGCCTACACTAGTCGACATTACTCTCGGATTACTCGGTTACTTCCCTTAATAAGTAAACTTTCTGTACTCCAGTCGGTGTGTCGGTCAAAGGCTCCGGCCTGTATGCTTCATCGTTGTAGTTCACTGCCTCCAACGTCCTCAAACTGCTGTTGCATTGAACCGACTTATTCTTGAAATGAAGCCACGTCCTGCAAAAATAAGGCGCTGTAACGTGCGTGTTGGCGGAAAACGCCCAAAAAAGTTGATTTAATTCTGCCTGGAGAACTTACTACATTTACGTCCTCCGTAGCTCTGGGATGACAATAAGAAACCAAGGCGGGCCAGAGGGGGGTCGACTGGTTGTTGGAGGAATGACAGTGATTGTTTCTTTGTGCACCCGACAGAAAGAGAATGGGACACGGCTAAACCGTCCTTTCCTCCTCCGGCACACGAGGTTCTTGACAACGATAACGAATTTTGCTACGAGCTGGGCAGCAGACATAGGAGACCAAGTGGTTCTTCCGTGTTGTCAGAATCTCGCTCCGACTACCCTCCACCCACTAGCCCGTCCAAAAGTCCTCGAGCACATCGGCAGGACAGTAGGAACGACAAAGGATCACGTTCACCCGCCACATCAGTGGCTGAATCTGACAAACTCGAAAAACTACGAAGGGACGGCGGCTATCACCGGCGCATGAGCATAGCAGGTTCGTCGTCGTCTTTCTCCAGACGTCGTACTCCCCCTTTGGATGATCGCGGGAGGCGCGGCGACCGTGCTTGCTCACCGAGACGATTATCCCCGCGGCGCCAAATGTCCATCACAAAGACCGTCATGCCACCACCACCACCACCCTCGCACCTACCACAGCCTCCTCAAGGGACTCCACCAACGGATCCACTACCTCCTGTTCCTGTGCCACCATCCTTCCTTTCTCTAGACATATCAGAAAAGCCGCCCGAAAAGTCTCAAGCATTATCAGGAAATGATCTACGCAAAGTCTGGAATGAAAGAGTGGAGTGTGTCTTTCTTTGTGTTACAGTTATTGACTTGCGAACTAATCGATTCCCTCAGTCTACTTTTCGCATCTGTAAAGGCGCGCGAACAGTTGAGCTATGCAGAGGCAGACTTGAAACTGAATAAGCTGGGCGAGTCCTCCCGCATGACCAACGTGTCGAACGCTCGTGCCAGAACTCAGACGGAATTGCGGTGCCAGACGAAGAAGAACGAGATTTCCGATAGCATCCAAAAACTCGCTGCATCAGAATTCTGGCCGGCTCTCAAACCACCTGATTTGCAAAGCGTGGAAGCCAAGTTTTCCGGCATGAAGCAACAAATAACAGAACTGAAAGATTCAGTCAGCGAACTCAGTACATCTTTCTCTGCACTCCTCAGGTCAAAGCACCCTAGCACCGCCTCCAGATCAGGTGAACCCCCACTGAAGAAGCGGAGGTTGGAGGGAGAGGATGCCACAGCTGGCTCTAGTGAAGTCACCTTCTCACTCAGTGCCTTCGATGGCATTCAAGCCCGCTTGAGCAATGTCGATAGCCAGCTACTCGACCTTCAGAATGACATTTTGCAGCGCGACACGATCATGGGGGATGATATTGAATCTCGCATCGACGCTCGGCTGGAAGAGGTGGTGATATTCCCGGATGAAGATGACATGAAACCTTCGTCAGCAGCTGTAACTGCTGTGGTGCAGGTTGAGACTGCCAAGGCCCTGGACATTATCCATATAACCGGCCAACAGCTGGGAGAAGTGGCGCAGGAGGTTGCGAACTTGATGATACAGAGCAAATGTACCGACGACGAAGCTACGCGGTTAAGACAGGAAAACGAGCAGCTCAAAATTGAGATCATCAAGGTATGGAGTGACTCTAGACTGGTGAAAGTCTGGCTGACTAGTGTGCATTCAAGCTCAAGTCCTCGGCAGAGGCTGACGCCAAAGTGGTACAGCAAAATAACGAACAAGTAGAGGCTTTAGCAGCAGCTCTGCAGGCCTACATCTCACAAGCTCCACCACCACCTCCACAACCAGTTATTCCAACCCACGAATATCTCATGGAAGAGCTCGAAGACCATATTCTTTCCAGTTCTATCAAGGCCATTGAGCCACTCCTGCGGGAGATGAAGGACGAGGTCTCCAAGATGTTAAATGACGAGAATGACGATATGTATCAAAATCTGTGGCCAAAGATCGAGCTTGTGTTACGCATGGTGGAGACGGTTAAAAAGGGTAGTAATATCATTCTCGAACCGGAGGAGTAAGAACGTGTCACGGTTTACACTTCCAACATAAGAGTGTAGTTGTATATCCCTGCCATAGCACAGATGTCATCCATTTGAATCCTTGTTGGCATTCGAGGTTAATGATATAGATATATCCACATAGTGCAACATTCAGGTGTAGACGTACAGACACTCAGTCGTATTCATCATCCTGTCTGAACGCTGCTGAATATGCCAATATGGTTCCATACACCAGTCTACACAGGAAACAGTGAGCCCTGAGAATGGTGAAATCGAAAAGAACGTACCCTCCACCGATGATGGACATTGCACAAGCGCCTGGTTTCAGAACCTCGGAATGGGTGAGAACGACGGGGAGCGCAAATCCAGTGACAACAATGATTGAAGTAAGGAAGCGGCCGAGGTCCACAGCACCCGTGGCGTTGTCACTTGAGGAAAATTCGTCTCCTCCGCAGTGGGCAAATAGGGCATTGGGCAAAGGAGCAAGCACGAACGTCAACGCTGAGAATACTTGGATAAGAATACCAGCGAACGACACACGCATGTCATACGCACCAACTAACAATGGCAGCCAATTCACCCATAGTGCACATGAGAGTATGATTAACAGGAATCCAACAGCGAGCACGAATGATAGCAATATTACAGCTACACGTGAATGAGCCACCACATCTCATACTCGTCAGTGATGATAACACGCACTCTTGAGCCCCGCTGACATCTTGAATATAAGGACAACAATGTTAATGAGGGTGTTGGAGGGAAGCTTGCAAGCGTAGCAGGAAGTTCTTACCCGTGGTGCTGACGTAATCGCGATATGATGGCGGGCTCTTTTCACTGTTCAGAACGTTCAGAACTTGTTGATTGCGACTCCCTAGCTACGCTCTTGACAAAACGCGGTTCTGGAAAATGCATGGATTTTATGCCTTTCCTTCCAGAGACAGAGAAAAGCAGAAATACTAGTCTTCCTGCACCGCCCGATAATAGCATTTATTGCATCAACACCCGCTTGATTACTTCAAGTGATGAACTATACTGTGTTAATGTCAGTCATCCTTTTATTCTTTCTGAACAAACTCCTAATTACTTCGCGATGCTCACCCATTCAAATACACCTCCGCATCGCCTTGACCTCGAAATGAACGCGATATGCATAATGCAACGAAATATGTCAGGGGTCAGTGCGAAATGCGCGCGTACGCATCACTGCTCTGCACCGACAGCTCGTCGAAGTGCGCATTCCACAGACAGGCGAAGTTCAGTTCACCGAATTGGACAGTCAACGGTCAACCCCCTCATGCGTTGTACTCGACCTTCGTACTGATGCATTCGCACACAGTCAACTGTACACAGCGCTGTCCAGGGTGCGGAATTGTGACGACATTCCGGCATTGTTTTCAGGCAAGAATGAAGAAAGGGAGACGGAGAACATAATTTACTTTTCATTACTGCTGCAAAACAATCCCAGAGGATGACAATATACGATACGACTGAACCGTCTACGGGCGAGCGGATTGCTTGTAAGAATGCGACGATATTCAATATGCAATCCTTGCACATTTACCCTCCCACTCCTGCCAATGCCTCATCATACCCTCCACGAGAAAATGTGCCACATCCTTCCTTGAAACCGAATAACTGCATTCCAGATCCTCTTCTTTCACTCTATATGCCTTGCCTTCTTTACCTTCTACGTCGGCGCGACACTTTCCGTCAGTTAACAACGCAGGCCTGATGACAGCGATACTCTTAAGTTCTCCAGCATTGGGGACACGGCTCGTCCAGCCAGCACCGAGAATGTCATCGCCTGGGCTGTCTCTCGCATCCCACTCCCACCCAGCGCTATGGGCTATGGCTTCTTCCGCGCCGCATTTGTCTTTGTGCGGCTCGGCTAGGATGTAGCTATACAGCGGTTTGAGAAGGAGGGGAACTGATTTGTGGGAGGCCTGCGTGAGGCCCGTAGAAGAGATTGTTATAATCTTTGGGTGTGGGAATGGGAGAGTCTCGAGAACGTTTATGAGAGATTGGGTGACGAGGTTTGGTGGGGTGATGATCATGCCTTTTGTTAGTGAAAAGCCGGGTGTCCCGCCTGATAGGTATATGGATGAGTAAAATCTTGACTAGCTGGAATTTGTGGAATGGGTTAGACATACCGACTGTGAAGATGAGGAAGTCGACTGGTTTGGTGTGGTCCCCAAGCTGAGCCTCGGACCATGCCCGGCGAACATCACTCTTCACGAGTGCATCGCCTTGAATAAGGTGGGCTTTACCTTCCTTAATGTATGCTTGAATTGTGTCATCCTGATCGAATACTTGTGGTGATCGCAGGAGGAATGTAACAGTAGCGCCGAGCGCTGTTGGCATAGGATGTCAGAACATGTAGTAAGTGTCAGGAAAAAGGGGTTATTTCACCAAGGAGTCGGACAGCAGAGTAATACCCTATATTTCGCGAACCTCCGATAACGAGGACTTTCAGGTTTTCCATGAAGCTTGATTAGTACAGCTGCGGTGGATAAGAGTGTTGAGTTGAGGATGAGGATGAGGAGGGGCCTACCAACGAGGTATTACTTTTAAGTGATCGCACCCCCCGGTGATCGGGTGGTATCCCGGCGATCGAAAATACCAAGGCGCAGTTCTCCGTAGCCTTGCCATTTTGTCAGGGTACGTGATCAGAGGTTACCAGGTAAGCCATTGGTACTACTATCCCCCGCATCGCTGACCGCAGGACTTCACGCCGCCGCTCTGACTTGTCCTAACCTGCTTGAGGGGGTTCTCTGGCTAAAAGTTAGATGAGTTAATCGTCTCCAACTTCCAAGTCGGGTTTTGTCCATCGGCACCTGTACCACTGGCAGTGCAGTATCTCCGTGACATGTCGGACGTGTCGAAATGCCCTTGGAACGCGTACGCGCATCATGTGCCCAGGATCTATGGTTATGGTTACCTCTGATCCAGCACTGCGCCGCGCAACAGAGCCCGTGAATGTTTCAGCATTTAAATCTATACAGCCCGTCTTCCTACAATTCATGATTATATTGAAGACACTATAGCCTTCATATATACCAGTTCAGCACATGTACAGTGATTCATATGGCCTAAGTTACTACTGATCTGTCTGCACTCCTTGGTACAACAAAACATGTTCAACATAACATCTTATCAGTCCCGTGCCTTCTCGCGCAACATATTATCTGACAACAGTACATTGATGTGTCCCAATGGCGGTGACATTGAGGCAGTGCTTCGCAACAGGCTATGCGAATCATTGCAAAAGTAAGAAATGCCTTGCTCTTCTTTAGTCTCGCTGCCTTCTTGTAGCATGCAAGTACCGGCGAAAGGAAGTTCGTGGTACGTATTGAATCTTGAATCTTGATGGATGACGTAGAACTGCACGGACTCCTGCAAGTCTACCGGAGCATAATGACCAAATGCGTGATATCAATGGTAGAACTGCGTGGACTATTGGAGCATGGCAAGTATAATGAATGAATAATGATATAATGCCTGACCCGTGGCTATCTGAGTCGTCTGGACGGATTCCGAAGGGTATTTGGCGGTCTATCTACCAACGCCCCCATCGTCGGCAGTCCGGATTTCAGAGTAGCAGGTTTCTTTAAGACTTTGGAAACTGCAGGAGGCGCGATGGGTATTTCAGTGAGCGTGGCAGTGGAAGAAGTTAAAGATGACAACGAGATTGCAGGAGGCGAGGGTGGGACTGGAGCTTGTGGTTCGTCTGACCACTCGTTGATTGGTGTGTCGACTTTCATTTGCTCTGGAACGGTTTCTACAGGAGATTGCGGGTGCTGCAAAGGGGGAGGTTCGGAAGCATGCCTTGATGGCTCCCCTTGTCTCCGCGACTGGAGGATGGCATCCCGACTCTCCGTCAGCTCCCACTCATCCACGTATTCCCATGCCCGTTTTCGCGGTGTCATGCCAGTCGGAATGTCCTCACGGGTACCTTGATCAAGCAGTGACCGGGCTGTTTGGTGCAGTGAGGTGAGCCTCGAAGTCGTATTATTGCCGTGCTTTTCAATCGTGTCCGATAAGTTTGAGCTCTGAAAGAGATCAATGATGTTTAGTAAGAGCACTTCATAATAATGACAGTTCTACTAGCCTCTGAAACCACACGACCACTGAAGCCTTCAACGTTTCTTAAGCTGGAAGTAATACCTCGCTGGAGGTACCGTAACTCGGATTGTATATCAGTCGTCAAGCCATTGGTACTCTCGATACGTGCTCTCTTGGCACGGTCATGACGATCAAGACCTCAAAGAAAATGAGAATCAAATGCGGATGGGCGAATAGGACCACTTACCTGTGCCAAAGGAGGTTTGGAGGGTCTGGCTTTGTCTTTGCAGCTCGCCAGTATAAGTTATGGTGGCTGCTGTGATTGAATTATGCGTAGCCAACAAATCGTCCTTGAGGGCTCCTTGCAAAGATCCGACGGTCTGAGTATGTTGTGATCAGCAGGCCAAACTAAATAAGCCAAGACTCTCACCTTGAGAGCGCCATCCCGTGTCCTCTTTCCTTCTGTACCTCTCCGCTCAAATGAGGTCATGGCTTCCGAGCTACGTACGGCGACTTCATTCATCAATTTATCATGACGCTGGCCAAACTCGTTGAATTCCTCTTCGTGTTTGGCGTTGGCGCTGACAACAGTGCTACATGCTTCTCGCAGCTCGCGATCACGGGAAGCTACGAACTCTCCAAGTAGACCTGATATGCGTTGAACGAGTACCTCGCTGGCCTTCGCAGATTTCACCTTCTCTGCTTCTACCATTCGAACGAGAAGTGCATTCTGCTCTTGGAGTGCCGTGTTTTCCGCTTTTGACATGTCATCCACAAGGGACTTGGCCTGTAAGGCTGATTCTCCATCGGCCTTGACCAGTTCGATCGCTTGAGTAACAGCGGAGTCGAGGAGTGTCCCCATAGCCTTCAAAACATTCTCTAACTGTGTCACGTCAGTTGAATAATTCTTACATAGATCAAACAATAATTACCGATGCGAAGTTACTTTGATTGGCAGCATACAACTCCTTGTACATCGTTTGGGATGTAGTTCGTAAGCTATCGGACCAGGCACTAAATGAACTCTTCATGGTCTCTTGCGATTCCTTGACAGCATGCTGCATAGCTGTAAGAGCCTCTGTAGAGGCGTCATCCTTCGTGTTGATGATCCGAAGGGAGTCTTGAATGCGCTGGAGTTGCTGGTCAATACGCTCAGAGTGACTGGTAAGGATCTCGAATTCCTTCGTCTGGAACTGTTTTGCTTCTGTGCGTAGCATCTGCGTGCTGTGCCCTGCGGTCTTCATGAAGTCCTCCAGTTTCGTCGAGAGCGACTGCACTTCGGAAGAGATGGACCTTCCATGACAGGATACAGCTTTGATGTTTGACGTGAACGTCTTGTTCCTCCGTTCTGGCAATCATCGTTAGTTTGACAGACCAACAGGGAAAGAAGCAATACATACGAAGTTTCTCAAAAAGTGCGCCAATGTCGTCGATGCTTTCCGCGGCAACCTGCTTCAATCCCAAGGCTACCCCGTCCAGCTTTTCTTCATTGATCTGGTACGCCTGGCGCACGACAATCTCCTCCTCAAGAGCACCTTTCGCTATCTTCAGTTGACCCTCCCTGACTTCTAGCTCTCCTTCGGCTTCTTTTAGTTGTTCCTTCACCTGTTTCAACTCCCCATCCGTCTTCATCAACAAAGCGATGCTTTGCTCAAATTCTTCCCTGACGCTCCTCAACTGGCTCTCTCCAATCTCCACTTGCTTCTTAGCCTCCTCCATCTCCGTCTGTCTGAGCTCCTGTTCCACAGTGAGCTGATTCCACGTCTCTTCAGAAAAGAAGATGCCGTTCTTCTCGCGTGCGGCCAGGACGTCGGCCTTGAGACGTTCGATCTCGGCCACGTATTCTTTGAGCAAAGAGTTTCTTGTCATCCGCTGGTTGATCTCCGGCTTGTTGCGGATGGATTTCGCGCGGATGGCATAATCGAGCGTAGAGAGGGTCTCTTCCATGTTGGAACGAGCAGGAGAGATTGTGGCGATGATATACGTCTTTGTACGGCCACCAAGTGAGTCTTGTAAGAGACGGGTGAGTTTGGACTCCCTGTGATTCAAATGCGTCAGTATACCTCCATAACTCATAGACCGACCACACTTACCGATAAGGGACATGTGTCGAACGCTCGACGAGGGCGTTTATAACACGGCCCAAAGTCAGCAAGCTTTGGTTAATCATGCCTGCTTCTCGGGCCCTCTTGTTCTCTGCTCCAGAGCGTCCGATGTTCTCCGAGCCTGCAAGATCGACGAGGTTGAACTTCCCAACCTTTAGGAGGTCATCTCCCATGGAGGATGTCTCCTTAGTATGAATAGTGATTGCGAATACGGAGTGCGAACGACTGGAGTGGTCGTTGAATTTGGTAGCTGCAATCTGGCGACGATGGCTACCTTTTGTGAGGAGGGCAAGTGCATCTGCAGCGTCTTTGACAGGTATCTCTTCGAGACCCTGAATAAAAACACCTTTCTTGCTAGCGTCATCAAATATTTTGAGGCCAGCTTGATTGTCGGCGGGGCCACCTTTTCCCATAGGCTGCGTGGATCCTGCAGGAGCGGACATTTCGCTGGCGAGCAAGTCTCGAAGCTCCTCGTTGTAAAGTTCGATGAAGGATATCTTGACACTGTAGTCGATAGCAGATGTCTCAAGTTGGTGGAACAACCGGAAAAGGACCCTCGGTATCATGCCTGCTTGGGAAGATGGATTTCCCATCGGCGTGGGCGTCAGGTCACCTTGCATAGTGTAACTGTAAACTCATCAACAGTGATGACATGAGCAATTAGGGAGGAGACGTACGTTTTTCCAGTTCCTGTTTGTCCATATGCAAACAGAGTACAGTTGTAGCCCATGAGGACTTCGTCTAACATGGGACTAACAACCTCATGGTAAATCGTAGCTTGATCTGCTTCTGGGCCAAAGACGAGATCGAATGGATATGTTCTTGTAGGCGCCAGAGTAATGACACCTAGGCTAGAGACAGGCGTGGAGGTCTCGATGGTGACTTCCTGACTCTTTGCCCCGTTGGAACTGACGATGATGGGGGAGTTCTCCTGGATTTCGCGATCAGAACGTCTACGGCAGCGAATTGCAACGTGAATGTGAGTCTCCAAGTCGTCCTGGCCATGGAACTTAGAGCCCTTCAAGGATGATGAGATCGCAAGTGTGTGCTCTGGGCGCTCGTCTGTGGGTGACATGATTGTAGACAGGGCAGACTTAGGCTTTGACATTGAAGATTGAGATTTTGTGTTTATTGGAGGGGCCCTTAGGCGGGAAATGGTTTGTCTCCTCGTAGCCATCGAGGACGTTGTCGACAGCAGCGGGAGGACGGTGTTAAGTGGAGAAGCGATGAAGGCCTACAACGCGTCCAAGAATCAACAACGCGACTGTGTCACGTGCACTCGTGGGAAGTAACCACAATATTTCTATTCCGCTGTCCACCCTTCAAAGTTGATCTTACGCTTGAGCAGCCATGGGAAAACGCA